GGGTTGCGGATTACTAAAATTGTTCGACCATCATTTGTTTGCAATTTGTTTTTTCTTTCTGGGTTTGAATGGCAGTGGTGACATTTAACGTGGTGAGTATTCAATCATGTAGGACAGATCTACTCTCAACAGTCGGAAGTTAAACGTGGAATGCCTCGTCCGAGGTTAACGGTTGAACAACGTCGAATTAGTCAAGCACGAAGAAGGCAATTAGATGCTGCTCGGAAAAGGAGGAGACGAATGGATATTAACTACAGACAGAATGAGCAGCAAGCGAATACCGAAGCACGCCGGAAAGCACGACAAGTATCTCGCACACACTATAGGTAAAATTTGCCCACAGCCAACACGTTTTGCTTGCATTATCTTGCAGTCGTCGGTGTTTTTTGTTTTTTTACGTTCTGATGCTTGTCTAGACTTATGCTTATGGTACCAACGTTTCGGAGAAACATGCCGTTTCCGATTCACCGACAGAAGAGCTTCGTATTTCATGTTTCTAAAATTTCTCGCTACTCACTTTGAATTCCTAACCTGATCTTGTCTAGTCAGAGGTCGAGGGGTGGTCCTGTACATTGATAGCATGGTGTTAAATAAAGTAAAAAAAAATATTGAAGTCAAAATTAGTTTTGTATCTACTTTAATGTGTAGTAAAATGTAATGTATTAAATGCAAATAATTTATAGAAGCCTGAATGTTTGTTTTAGTTTTGTGCATACTTGCTATGAATGTGGAAGAAATTAATCTGTAGCAATTAATTATTCAGTATATTCCACTTTTGGATGTAAGAGCAAGAGAGAGTAACAGGAAGATGGATAAATTTTTTTAATGAACTTCATTATTGTACCCCTTCTCAAGTTACATTGGCAACGAAATGTAGGGTGTGATGGCTGGTGCAAAAATGCACACATAGGATAAACTTAAAGAAACAGGTGTGGTCTGGATTCAGCTGGCTTAAATTGTTATGAACATAATGAAGAGGGAAATTTCTTGACCAGCTGAGCAGTTGTCAACTTTGGAATGCATGTTCCAGGAGATATAAATTCATAAATATAGTGGTGTACAAAATAACATTGCAGTTTTATTTACACATATACATTTGTGTGAGATGTCTGACGTGAGTAAATGAGTATGTAAATGGATGGTTTTGTCAGAGTAATAGAATTGCATCCCGTTTCACCCCAATTATCTGAAGACTGCCTGAAGCTGAATTTTCAGTGTAAATGTTCTTGGGAGTCATTCTGTAGGTGATAATATGTACAGAGTTCCATATTTACACATTTCAGTAATTTTGGTGATATGTGGCTAAGTTATGAAAATAATTTAATTTTGTCAACTGAAATACATACTCAGATTGGTTAAGAATAACAATAAATGTGCCCTGAAAGTATGTATGTACAGTTTTAGTGTATAATTTATGTCTAATCAACTGTGGTCCTAGTTGAAGTAGAGAGTCCATTATACAGATGGAAAGGTCCTGAGAGGGGAATTTGTTTGGTGTACTACCCATGATATTTAGGGCAATTCAGCATTGTGACCTTAATTTATGATAAAATTGGACAGTTGGATTTTATTGAATTTTTCCCATAACATTTTGTGATTCTTAGGTACATTTTTGGAAAATTTAGTGTTGTGACATGAATGGGTTGATGTAATTTTTACAACTATACATTACACGCACACTCATGTTGTTGGTCACTTTTGACAAAGATTGTGGTAAGCTACGTTGGTAATATGACGTAGGTTTTGAGGTTTTCACGGCAGTGAGTCTGAAGATGGCTGTCTTCTAGATTATTGCACCGCATAGTCTGGTAGAAGTTTACTGACATTTCATAGGTCCTCGCTGCCTCCATCATCTGGGTGATAAGTCACTACATGATGCTTCAACTCAGAAGACAGCAATTTTTGTGGTCACTGCTATGAGAATCTCACATCCAGCATAGTTTTTTGGTCATAATTCTATGTACTTTGAGGAGCCTAGTGATTCCTCAGGACTTTGTTTCTGAGGACTTAAGTAGGCTACTTTCAGGTTACACGGCATCAGTCATTTCTAAAGATGAACCCTCTTGCCTTCTAAGTAATTGAAACATTATCTTTTGCCCTTGGCATGATGCTGCTGATTTCATCGTACACAAAATTGTTTCATCATTTCAGCCGTTGCACAGTACAGCACTTTCCCTATTTTTACATTTGGATTGACAAATTCCTTCCTTAGTTTCTTGGGAATCCAAAACGTGTTATCTGAGGCTTTGTACATTTGTCGGATTTTCCTAATTGGCCAGCATAGAAGAACTGTCAAAATTTTAAACTTTTCATTTTTTTTACTTTTCCCTTCACCTGTGCTATCACTTCGTCTGAACTGTTACTACCACTGGAGTCTGTTAAACTGAATATTTTTATTTTGTGGCTGTTTTGACTTTCTTGAATTTTTCCTACAGATACTTCACTTGTGACAACTTCTTAGTGGGAAAGTCATGACCCTTCTGAAGTCTCCAAGTTCTTGTTCAAGGAAGAAACAAAGTGAGTGTGCTCAGTTTTAAAACTGTCCAAGTCTTCCTTTTTATTTGTCAAGTTCTGAATGTGAAGAGAAAACTGCTTAATTTCCAAAACGTTTGGGAAAATTTGCATTAGTTTTCTTTTATCTGTCACATATTACTTGTCGTTTCTAAATTGTAGGAACCTCTTGTATCATACAGTCAGATGTATGTCTCAGGTTTTTCTTGGAACTTTCACTGTGGCTAACATCCATCGGATTACAACATTGTTTAAAAACATTTAGAACTTTGAGGATTGTAGCACGGTCATTTCATAATTAGGAAAAGTAAAAACAAGTTTTGTCATTGACAAAGCCACTACAGAACCAGACAAGGAAATACATCTCAACTCTGCTGAAATCGGGTGTGAATTGACGGGCTGGATGGGTTGTGATGCCATGCGGCATGTCTGTATAGGTCACATGACTTGTTATGTAGCATCAGACTACAACCAGAAAGCAGATCATATCTCATAACTATCATGTTTCAGCATCATACTATACAAAGCTATACTGGAATTATCACAGAGTGCTGTGGGAAAAAGTTGCATGAATCCGGTGGTTTCTTCATAAACTAAGGTCAGAGGTCAGGGCCAAAATGTTAATGTGAGTGCGTATCGAACAAAGGCTCAATTTTTAAGAACTTTCAGTTGGTACAGGAATGAGCTCTCCATCATAATTAGAACCAGAGTTATAAGCTTTTAGTGAGCCAGAACAAAAAGGAAAAAATTGAAGGAAAACTTGAAATTTCATATTTGTCACTTTCTGAGAGACCAAAGAAGCTTTTTTCTTTTTTTTGACAGGTTTGCAGATAGTTATGAAAATTATGCCCCTAAAGTATCTTGATTTGACACAGAATAACCCATGCCTCACACAGTCCATGTCTTGTAAAGAGATAACATTCATTTTCTCTGGACAATGTAAACTGCTTGAATTTTCAGTTGCCTCATTTCATGCTGATGACCTCAGAGAGGGTTAGGCATCCAAGTTGGTTACTACCACTCTACAACTGCTGTTACTGCTGCTGCCTCTTAACAAATTGTCTCATGCTGAATGTTAATGTTCGAACTGTGTTTACAGGAAGGTTAACGGCCGAAGGCACCTTCAGGCGGATGTTATGCCAACAATATTTGATTACCCAGAATACCTTCTTAGCCAGTGTTCTGTAATAAGGATGGCTAATAACCAACAGACATTAATAGGTAGTTCCCAGGACTTTTTTCCACTAGCTGATCATTCCATTTTTGGAGAATGTTCTGGAGCACCCTCAAAGCAAGTTGTTGATGATTGTAGCAGGAGCCTCCTAAGATCCTGTAAACTTGTTCCAAAACTTCAAACCAGCAAGAAAATACGTAAGTTTGCATCTTGGCGTGTTTGACTGTTATTTGTGCTGCATTTCGAAGTGTACAAATGTGAGGGAGGGTTGTATTTTTTTATCTTTCATGATTGTTTTCATTGGCATTCAAATTTTGATGTTCCATGTTTCAATCTGACAATTTTATTTGCAAAAACACATACCTATGAAGCATTTTTGTTTAGTGAATTGTACCAATTACTCATACAAAATATCAGTTAGTATGTTAGCCCTTGAAGTGCTGATTTTATTTATGAGCTCACATCTTTGATAAGCTGTCCAGAATCCCAGAGCCGCAACCATGGATCTCATTTATCTTGGAAAAGTCATTTACAGTATTCTTCAAATTGGGCAGACATACTGGTATCTCTGCTCAAGAGACATGTGGCATAAATAATTCTCATTAATGTAAGGTAAAGAAAAGCCACATATATAAAATACAGGTAGCCCTCGATTTGTGCCGATTTAGAATAACACCAACAAATTGCCTATTGTAAGTGTATAAAATATACTTTTTAAATTCCCTTTATTTTATTTACGTTATTTCAGAGCTTTAAATGTAATGCCATTATATTAGTCGTCAATGTATGGGTGCTGGGAACGCATGTCATTGACTTCCCATTGATTTTACATTATAAAAGAATTTCAATTTATGCCGATTCCGTTCACGCCGGTTCATCCAGGAACGCATCCCTGGCGTAAATCGAGGGCTACCTGTAATTGCCTTAGCAGATGTTGCCAGTATTCTATACCAATTGTGCCATACAGTATTAGTTTTGATGTGTTACGTGAATGTTACAAAATTGTTGACAGGTAAATCAGATGATCATGGAGCAGAGGGTGTTGACAGGGTTCCCACTGTAAATACAGATTGCAGGAACATGGACTCTGAGTCTCCATCATCTCTGGAAGAGAATGAAAGTGAAAAGAAGAGAGACGTAGCAGTCGAGGAATCAGACACCTCCGTCTGCTCTGTGGAAATGTCTGCAGGAGTAAGGCGTCGTCTTTGCTTTGCCATTGCTCTGTGTCGGAACAGTTAACTGTGTGTCACGGTCTTTTTTGTGTTTATGAGGTCTCAGGTTAATATCACAGCCCAGACCCCAGCTACCCTGACTGAGGATTTTAATGTTTTTTTCCCAGTCCCTCCAAACAAGTGCTGATAGCCGTTGCTCAAATATCAACATGCAGTTGTTTCGTTTGCAGGTTAATGCCATTAGTAGACTGAAGTGATTTCCATCGGCAAGTGTGAGTTCCTTGACAGAAAACTTAAAAAGTTCATATGCCCACTGTTACATTGTAGGAGCAAAACGTCTTAGTGGAATTATGTATTGATTTGAATTCATCATTAGACCAAACAGAGTGAAATGTGTATCGGAGTCCATCTCAGCATTGGACTGGAAATTGTTAAAGAGTTATTTAAATGCCCTTTAAGCATTGTGTTGTAGTATAATGAACACAACAGGGGCATTCAACAAGTTTGCCACCATATCCAGGTATGGTCATTTGCTGATGCTGTATCCAGATTGTTTTGTCTGATCTTGGTTGGATAGCAACATACCATGAGAAGACAAAGATGTGCCTTTCAGAGTGAATTTTGGGCACGAGTTTTGTAATTTAAACCATAGACAGTGGAAAATGCTCAGATGAAATGTAATAATACAGTAATATCTCAGCAAAACAAACTTTTGTGGAGTGACAGAATTTGTAGCAAGGAAATTTCATTATAATGAAAGA